CAACTACTGAACTTAGAATTCGAACATTATATTCATGTGTAATGGGGTTTTGGGCTGTTGTAGCACCTCTAAATATTAATATTTAATTTATGTCAGTACCATGTGAAAAGTGAAAGGAATTATCAAGGAATTATTAAGCATGTCAAATGTTTCTCTCTTGACTATTAAAACTGTGATGTTATGCTAACTCCATTTCCCATAATGCTTTACTGGACCTTTTTCCTGGTTTCTTCATGTCTGGTCAGTAGTGCTGGGCGGTATGACCAAAAATTTATATCACGGTATTTTTCAAAATTATACCGGTTTCATGGTACATGACGGTATTTCTTTTTTTCATGCATGACCGGGTGTTAACCATATTTTCTACTGATTGAGAGAGGAAATACTGCAGTATATTGACTTAGAATGCCCTATTTTACTGTCATGATGAGTGAATATTGTCAAAAAATACCACACTAAATAGTGACTAAACACGACCCCTTTTAATACATGTTAACCAGGAGTCACAGGAGTCACTGTTCTATGGAAAAAAGCCGCTAAAAGGGTCTGGAAGTTGCTAAATCTAGTGCTAAAGTAAAAAATGTGAGTATTTACTTTTTTTTTAGGCATAACCTGAGAAAATGGCAACATCTAGTAAAAAATTGTTTTAAAAAAATTAATTTTGAAGCCTTGCCAATAGAATGAAAGCCTATTAATAAAGACTGCATCATTTTAATTGTTAAATGGCCCTGGGATTAAAAATTGCTGTTTTAATGGGTTTCATTGGTCCTGATTGTAGCTATTTTGTGTACCTAGTGTAAAATAAATAATATAGAAAAATAAAGTAAATACAGGTAAAATATTACAATTCTAATACAAATATGCACTTGTGTCCAAATGTATGCAGTTGGCATTAACACAGCCAAAATTATATATAAAAAAAAAAAAACTGAAAAAGTTTTAGGACAGCCAAGCTTTAATAAAGACAGCTTAAAACTATTTGCATCTTCAGACCTTAAAGTCATGTGAACGAAGCAGAGACATCAGAGATAAACATGAATGCAAAAGTTGTGGTCCCTTATAAGGCACTGTTTATGAAGGGTTAAAAATACCTTATCAAAGAGCCCGGATTTACAGATGAGTTTTTCACGAGCTGCAGTGTTGATGGCAATGGTGAAACGGACATGAGGTATCAGCAACTGTAAGGAGAAAATGAAGCATTTTTTAAAAACTGTCAGCAAAACACTGGCCTTCAATAAAACAATAAACCACTCTAGGCCACTATGTGACACTGTCACACAAGACACATGTTCTACCTGCTCAATATATCATTGTGGTTTAATATATATTGAAGTTTTATTAGGTATTACTGTGTTCTTAGCCATTTTATTCCTCTTATCTATTTTATGTGTGTAGGTCTTTAAATGGTCTTGGGTTCTGACAGCAAATAGATTCCATAAAGGAAGTAGCATGGCAAACAAAATGGCGGTCACAAACTGGTGATCATGACTAGCTGGACCGTGGAGTCACTTTTAAGGACTTTTCCCAGCTTCACTGGATTATCTCTTCTTTTGGCTTTGTATATACACCAGTGGACACTTGGAGCACGCCAGGATTCGTAAGGACTGATTTATGGTATGGAACTGAAGAACCCTTTGCTTTTAACAGCCTAGGTTTTCCATGTGGAAATTGTAAGTACAATTCATTTATTCACTTTATAACTGTTGTACATCTTTTCAAACACCCCTAACTTCACACAGTTTTGATCTGACCCCATTTTTACAATTGGGCCAATAAGGCCAATCGTTACAACTTGATTCAGTGTTTGTACAACAGGTAAGGGGCTTTGTGCCAAAATCACTGTAACACCCTGCCTTTTTGCTTTTATAGCAAGAGCAATGACAAAGGACAACAATGTTTATTAAGTATCAATAAGACTTACTACCAATTATAACACTAATCGAGCAAGATGGCGGCGCGCACAGTCGCAGCGGCTTTGAGCTCCTACAATTGGCATAGTTTTTGCATGTTGTTGGTGGTGCAATTATCGAGCACTTAACTTCTGTACAGCCATGACAAACTTTTAGAACTAAATTCTGGAATACATTATCTACCAGCGGAGACATTTATTCCTCCGGAGCTCTTAAGACCACCACCGGGAGCTCTTGCTGAAGTGAGACTGAGGAGGAGACGCTGTGAGCGGAGACAGAAGAGAGGAAAGCGTGCGGGTGTGTGGGCCAGGCTAAAGGCTAACTCGTCCAAGCCCCCGCTTCCTTCCATCTTCCTCTTTAATGCACGGTCGATCCGCAATAAGATAGATGAACTACATCTACAGCTGGCGACCCAGAGGACCATATACAACTGTTGCAGCATGATTTCACCGAAACGTGGCTGGACAGCACCACTCCGGATGAGGCTATTGAGCTAGCAGGTCGTACCCTTCTATGGGTTTGGAACGACATGGGGGTACGTGATTAATAACAAAATTTCCATTTTGGGGTGGAGTATCCCTTTAACCGCATGTGACGTTTCCAACATGATTACGTAATGTGCAAAGTAAGTAATGCGCAAGCAGAGTTACAGCAAGACGAGCATTTAGGGTTAAAAAGTATATGAATCTCATTTGTTTTTGGAATTTCGGCTGTGATCGTGTAGAGCTGCATTGAAACTGCATTTTTAACCTTTAATCCATTGAGCACCATTGAAGTCCTCTATACGGAGAAAAATCCTGATACGTTTTCTTCAAAAACCTTAATTTCTTTATGACCGAAGAAAGACGTGAACATCTTGTAAATTATAGGGAAATTTTTATTCTGGAAGTTAACTAACCCTGCTTTCTCTGGACATTAAATAATGGTGCATTCCAGTAAACTGACTTTCACAAACTTAGTAAATCATGTTGCGAGATTCATTTAAAACTCGCCTCCCATAAATTGTGTCTGAAATAAAAACTCCTACAAATGCATGCATAATAAGGGTAGTCACCAAATTAAACACATCCTTGCCTTTTTGTCACTAATGCATGTCTTTGGTACACCCTGACAGTACTTTTTTTAACGTCAAAAGAGGGTTTGCGCTGGTGCGAGGTGTTAGTAAATCTGGCCCTAAATCTCATAGCAATGAAAGCATTAAAGGATGGCTACCTTGAATACAGGATGGACTGCAGCGAGCTGTCTGTACATGGCTATGGCAAAAACCTCAGATATCAGATGTGTCCTGAGAAGGTGTGTGACCAGCTGGTGTACACTGAAGTCGGAGGATTTCACCCACATCTTGGCTAGCATCCAGTCATACTGATTATCACTTGGGAGAAAGACTGTGTTCCCCACCCCTGCGGTGGTCTGACGACTGAGCTGTTTCACACATCAAAGTAAGCCAAAACTGAGTCTTTGGTAAAAACTCTAACATTTAGTTAAAGCACCAACTTTTTATTTTTAAATAATGTTTTACAAAATTATTTCTGAAGGCACCTGGATAGCAATTGGTAGGATTTCATTCTGGCTGTTCTTTCAAAGTAAGCCAAAACTGAGTCTTTGGTAAAAACTAACAAATTTAGTTAAAGCACCAACTTTTTATTTTTAAGTAATGTTTTACAAAATTATGTCTACAGGCACCTGGATAGCAATTGGTAGGATTTCATTCTGGCTGTTGTTGTACAGCAGGCAGAAGGGAGCAGCCAAATACTGCTTGGTATCTGGGTCTGTGGCATTGGCTTGCACTCCCGCCAGTATTGCATAGTCTGCTATGTAGATGTTTCCTGCCTGTAACAGAGAGGTATTTAGTATTGGAGCCATAGAGCGACACTGGAGAATTTTTATTCCATTCTATATAATTCATTCACATCCAGAATTTACCACTGCGACAGCTTTCTTTTTGGCACATCATCCAAAATCCAAAATGAACTCCAAATTTTCTATACACCTCCCCCTCCCTCTCGAAGTCTGTCCATGTTTAAAACTTCACTCAAAATGCATCTTTTTAGGATTGATTTTAATTTGGGATTATGTTGTGCACTACAAGTTTCTTGTACTGTTTTTTTATGAATATTTCTAACTCGTAAAGTGTCTCCGAGTACCCTGATAAGTGCTGTATAAAAATGTTATTTTTATTAGTGTGGTGTCATTTTTTCTGACCTTTAATTCCTCATGTAGTGTGAGACCTCTATCCAGGGAACCCTCCACCATCTCCTGTGTGACTGCAAACTTGTCTGGAAGATTCATGCACTTCCTGATCACCACAGGATTGCAGCCATTCAAAAACTGATAGCCAAAAAAGTAGTCCTTATTCCAGTTCTGCATCACATACTCTGTCAAAGGGTATAATAAAGTCAGCTGCCAGTGAGTTTAGGAGTATGCAAACGATGTGCGCCTTAGCCTGTTAATGTTTGCATTCTCACAATAATTTATACTCGGTCAGTGGACAGATTGTTTTAGTATTAGAGAGAAGTAAATAAAAGAAAAGAACCAACCTGACACGTTCAAACCTGACACGGTGTTCTTGATTTTCACAAATATTTTTTCAAAATCTGCAATATCTTTCCAAGAGGACAACTTCAAAAATTTATTAAGTCCAAGATTCCTAATCCTGAAAGAGAAGATCATGAAAAAATACAGCTGAATGAACCAGACACTAAAAATCTGATTGGGAGCAATTTAAGCTACGCTTGTTTCTCCATTTATTTTGAGATATTTCCTAGCTATAGTCAAACTGTGTCACAGGAAATCTGTAACATGCATACTTGTTGGAGATATATGCAAAGGTATGAACACAACCTACGCTGTAATGTAATTCAAAGAGAAGTCCACAGATTTTGCAGCTTCAAACTGAATGTCCAAAGGAAGTTCAGTGCTTGAATTGGCATCGATGCTCATGGGGAAACCAGGGCGCCACTCCTTCCACCTATTAGAAACCGCAAAATTAATCTTTCAGTTATTTGGACCGAGAATTATTTTAGGTGATATGAACATTTTCATATGCATGAATTTTTTTTTTGTCTGGTTCCATGTGCCTTGGTATTATCCAACCAATTGAAAAATCTGCAGTGAATTCATTGCACGATCCATTTTGTCCCTAAGCAATCCTGATGTGTTCCTCCACTAGGTTTTTTACTTGTTTCTATTCTGACTTGTGTCTGGTGTTTGTAGAGTTAAAGCTATTATGCTTTTTCACTTTTTCAACTTTAGTTCGTCTGTAATGTTGCTGTTTGAGCATTAAAAAGATCTGCAAAGTTACAAAGCTCAAAGTCCACTTCAAAAGGAGATGTTTTATTTAACAGAAACATAGACTGTATATGTGATGTCACTCGTAGGTTTCCGAAGAGCGTTTTTGAAGCTCAAAGTGGGCGAAGGCGGCCGTCGCCATCTTGGCAGTGCGTCACTCCCGGATATTCGAAAATGGGCAAAGAGGCGGAAGCTGGTTGCTGAAGCCACGCCCACCTAGCTAGACGGTGGTGATCCACCTGTCACTCAAGTGACCACGCCCTTAATTATGCAGAACTTTAAGGCTTGATATAATTTAAACGGATGAGTTATAAAAAAAACATGCCAGACTGGGGAGAGAGGTGTTGTAATAATGTAAAATATATAAATAATACTTTGTAAAAGAGCATAATAGGACCTCTTTAAGCAATCTGATCGGTGTCTCATGCATCGTGTGTTAGATGGCACACCCTACACACGTGGGCTCACAACACAAGACTCGGTGTTGGAGCCATGCTTGTTTAATTTTTATAAACTGGTTTGTTTAAAAATCTTTTGGCTATAGTATTGTTAATGTTTATTTTTGAGAGCTGTCACCTAAACAACACAAACTCAGCACACCTGAAAAAACGATAGGCGCATAGGAAAAATAGTGCAACAATAATGTCGAATCAAAAATATAAAAAGATTCGCTCCACTGAACTGAACGTTCCGGTGGACCGAAACGTTGCTTGTGCTTCGATATTTAGCAAGTATTTTATAGTGTGCGGGATTGCATCTTTTTATATTTGAGCCAAAGGTGAGAGGGGAAATGGTTAAAAAGGATATACCACCCCTGACAGGAGGGGGGCGCTGGTGCAAGAGGACACAGTATTTTGACCGTGCACATGGAGGCAGGATGGCTTTGGTGTAACAAACTTGCAAGCTGAAAAACATTTTCACCATCATATGATTAAATATCTGTTGAATATTTACACGGGATTGTAACTGTGGCATCAAACCTGAACAGTAGTTGTCTTGATTCCAGTTCCATGCGCCTGTACTCTTTCATATTATCATCCGATCTAAACGAACATGCGTATATATACACATAAACAAGAGTTTTTATGACATGCTTCATTCAGGACTGGATAGTGAGCAGATAGAAATAGGGCTCACCCTTGTCATCTCGAAGAACCACTTCCTTTTCAAAGTCTATCCAGCGATAACAGGGGAACTCGACGCAGTCTCCAGAGGGTGTCGTCACACTGATGCATCTGCAGTACCAATGATCATTGAACAAGATTTTCTCCTTCTCAAGTTTCACCAGCACTAAGTCTCCAAGGATCTCCTTCACATTGATGTCAACAGGTACCACCTTTAACGACAACTTCGGTTAGGCAAAACTGAACCACACAGCTTGTGTGCAAAAATCACGGCAAAAATTATCACTGGATTTGTCAAATAATATCGTTTTTCTTTATGAAACATGTATTTTCCACAAACATCCTTTTTAAATTTGATTATACGACAGAATGCTTTTAATTGCTGTGAAAAAAAGTGGATAAGTGAGGATAAGTTTTTTAATTTTTGTGAGGAAACAAGTGTTTGATGACACTCACAATTAAATCAGAGTGATTATTATACATACATATATATAAATATAAATATGTGGGGTATAAGTCGTACTGCAAAATATTTCATAATTCCTGAATATTATGAACAAAAATATAATAATGTAAATTTCAAGTATTATTAAAGACAAGTGAACACTCAGTCATTTAAAAAGTACAAATAAACAAGTTAGCAATCACACAAATAGATTCAATTGAACAAATTCATTACGATTGAAATAAACAGTGTTTTAAGATTGTCAGGTATTCCGGGGCATAGAGGACCTACAATAATGTACAGTATTTGAAAAATAATGTGTTTTTTGAACATTAAAGCATGTCAACATATTCTGTTGCACCAAATACAGAAAATAATGATCTTTAAAATAGCATCATATGAGACATTTAAGACATAACTGATATTTAACAGGGACATTTGCAAAAAGACATGTTAGAGGACTCAGTATCATGCACTATACAGTATGTGTGCAGCAGAGAAAACAGTCTTCTTGCACTTAAATGGTTTAAAGTCATATTAAAGGATTGATAAGCAGAATCGAAATCATGGTTTATCTGTCAGGTAAATGCACATAAAAATGCATGCTCTCATGCTCTCACAATGTTGTTAATGTTGAGGTTATTTCAGATTTGTACTAGGTTTGCTTCATTCATTTAGTTTGACTGCACTGACTAAGAGGGTGAGCTTAACCATTCAAATTAATTGTGTCCATGCATTTTAGACACTGAGCACTGCTGAGTGCTCTGGTAATATCAATGGTATGACCCATTTCAGGAGCTGTCAAAATTACAATTTAAAATCAAGAGCATAGATTTCTAACATTGCGCAGCGCTGAACTCATACGTCATCCGCCCGGAGCTGCTTCCGTGTACAACAGTGAGCGCAAGCTAGATTAAAGTGATTATTACGTTTTGAATATGGATATTTTTCTTACAAAATGCATCGATTCGCTACAGGAGGCCTTTGTTCACCCCCCGGAGCCGTGTGAGACACTTTTGTTTATGGATGGGCACTTTTTATTTAACTTCTTTTGGACTGCTGCACTGCTGCAACACCTGCTGAGTGCCATTAAACAGCTTGAAAGATCAAAGACAATTTTTAATATAACTCCGACTGAATTAGTCTGAAAGAAGAAAGTCATATACACCTAGGATGACTTGAGGGTGAGTAATTTATGGACTAATTTTCATTTTTGGGAGAACTAACCCTTTAACATTACTGTTTCAAAACAGCAACACTAGTGATTGACTGTCAAAGCAAAGCACGGTTTGAACGTCCCGCCCCCAGATCAACTGGAAGTTTTGATTGGTTTTGACCCCTGAGTCAGACCTGTCTGTTATTGCCTGCAGCGCAGGGCTCCACCTAATAGTTTGAAAAGTGCCTGTCAAACGCCAGCTCGCCCTGTTTCTCTGTCAGCACCTTTCTGTACTTTGTACTTTGTGTGAAAAATCAATGTAGTGAAGTTGAATACTTTATTTTTATTTAACCCAAGTAAAAGTAACATTTTAATGTAGAAAAAGTTAAAAATGCACTCAAGTACTGTAGCTAAAGTATTTGTGATTAGTTACTTTCCACCTGACATCAGTAAATAAATTAAATAATTTCAACCTTGTCCTGAATTTGTAAGGGAAAGAACAATTCTTACCGATCCTCTTGCGAAATGGTCAACAACGGATTTGTCCAGTAGAGTTCGGTCACTGCATCTCTCCGTGCCCACCAGCGTCAGGTATATGTCATTAATTGTCTCAGCAAACTCCTGTTTGCCAGTGCTGACAGACACCGTGTACGTGAACATCTTGCTCATATGAGAGGACAAGTACAACAGACTCTCTTGTTTCACTGCTGTTTTGGGGGTGTGGTCTATCAATCTAACTTGTGATGATAACTGTGTGTTCTTTAATTAGAGATGATAGCACCAACAATGTACAATTATGTAATCAATTCCTTCATATTTATATTTTCTTTAAAAAAGTTTTACATTATAAAGCCTGATTCAGACAGATGCAGTGGCTGTTAAGATATGAAAATGTCTTTATTCTAATTTGAAGGGCTCTGATGACATATTTTTTAAAATAAAAGACTTAAAGGGGTCATGGCAGGAGAAATCAAATTAGCCTTGATCTTTTGGCATATAATTGGTCTTTGTACCATTAAAACATCCTGCAAGTTTCATAACTTAAAACGTCCTCCTCATAAACAAAGCGTTTCTTTAATCAAGCTCCAAAAATGGCTCGTTTGGATCTGAGGTGCATAATGACGTAACGGGGGAACAAACATTTGCATAAACTCTGCCTCCAGAGCAAGACATTGATGAATAGTCTTCTTCTTGACATAGGCCCCGCCCACTGGTGTTCAGTTGCCCCACCTCAAAGTACAGAAATAATGAAGGAGTTTTGTCCTTGCATGTTAAAGAAAAATGCATTCTTGGCTGCTGGTATTGTGTAATGATGCCAGATGTCCCACCCTGTCAGATACCTTTTCTTCTAAACATAATAACCAGGGCACGTATTCACAAAACATCTCAAGGCTAAAAGTAGCTCAAAACTCACCAATTTAGGAGAAAACGTTAAAAATAATGGGCGTGTCAGTCCTAAATTTAGGACTCCTAAATTTTTGCTCTAAGAGTATTTCACAAAGCGTTTTAGCGCTAAAACTAGCTCCTAAATCTGTGAAACGTTAGGAGTAGTGAAGAGGACTCCTAAGTAAGGTTGCAAAGGGGTGGAAATTTTCCAGAAACGTTCCATGGGAACTTTGTCTGGGGAATTTTGGAAATATTCCAAGTTTGAAACTTACCAGGAATTTATGGGAATTAATTGGAAATTTGGGGCAAATTTATAAAACTATTATATACAATCATAAATATAAACATTTTGTTTGATCATAGGCTCCAATACCATACTATCTAAATCTAATACTAATACAAATTTTTAAAATGACATTTTTTAATTTTTTGGGGGGAATCTGTGATGCTTTTTTCAGGATTTATTGATGAATGAAAACTAGGGCTGCATGATTAATCGCATGCCATTATCATGTGTATCTCGTCGGTAAAGCCGGTTCTGTGATTAGTAGTAAATCTCCATCACGTGCTTTCAGATGGAGCGGCATTTAAAAACATCCAGATGAATCGCCTTCGATTATGAATGAGATATTGCGTAGCTTGTCAGTGATCTATGGCTCGGTGTATTAAATGCCGCTCCATCTGAAAGCACGTGATGGAGATTTACTACTAATCACCAGAACCGGCTTTACTGACGAGATGCGCATGATAATGGCATGTGATTAATCGTGCAGCCCTAAATGAAAACTTGTGAACAGTGTTTAATCAAAATAGAAATATTTTCTAATAATATAAATCTTTACTATTACTTTTTATTAATCTAACACATCCTTGTTGAATAAAATTAATTTATTTCAAAAAAAGAGAAAAGATACTGACCCCCAAACTTTTGAAAGGTAGTGTATTGTTAAAAAAGGATTTCTATTTTAAATAAACGGTTTTCTTTTATTAA